AAGGAGAGGAAGACCTTTGATGAGATGGATCGATTCTGTGACTGGAGAGGTGGGGATAAGTGCGTTTGAGATGGCTAGGTTGGCACAGGATAGAAGAGCGTATGGAGCTCTTGTACATAGGGTCGCTATGAGTCGCAGGCAACTTGATGGCACATAACAACAACAATAACAAAGAGAACAGACACTGATCTGAGGACTACATTTGTGTGAATTTTATTTTGTACACAAAATATTACCATCACTTACCCTCACAGTATACGTTCTTCCTCCAACTCTGTCTCGGGCTTCCAAGACCAAAACATCAACTTCATGTTTGGCTAAGAGTTTGGCAGCTGCCAATCCTAAAGCAAAAACAAAATGCAAGAACATATTAACATAAAAATGCTAGATTTTGAAGATTTAGATATGTAAACAGGTGGGTGATTAGCAAGAGCAATTCAAAGTGATTTTTAAATGCCTACTAATTTGATAGCTCATTTATTACACTATACCTTAAAAAGAACTGCAAACATAAAGTAATCACTTAATAGGGATAGTTTAAGGAGCCTTGGTAGGATAGTGTACTGCTGTCAGGTTGTTACCCAAATTGTGAGAGGTTCATTCTGTTGTATGTCAGGTTTCTAAGAGTTGGAGCCACCTTGATAACATTTAACAACCTAATGACTAGCTGAAAGCAGAGAACACCATAAGAATAAGTGCTTCATTGAGTATGCAAAGACATCTGACTATGTGGATCATAACAGACTATGGCTGAAAAGGAAAAGAATGGGAATCATAGAATACTTAATTGTGCTCAAGTGAAATCTTTACCTAGAAGCTTTTCTCCAATTGGAACAATGGTAACATTGTATGATTCAAAATAGGTAGATTATGGGTCAGGGATGTATCCTTTATCCATACCTATTCAGTCTGTATGTTGTTGTTGTGTACCACTGAGTCAGAACCAACCCATAGGTGACCCTCCAGCAGGTTTTATCGCATGGGAGAAGATTGCCCATCTTTCTCCTGTGGAACAGGTGGTGCATTTGAAGTGTATGACTTCGGATTACAGCTCAGCTTCTTGCCACTATACAACCAGAGCTCCCACCAGTCTGTATGGTGAGCAAATGATTTGTGAAGCTGGACTCTATGAAAAAGAATATGACACCGACAACAAGGAGAGGATAAAATAGATGAATGGAACCTTTTAAGAATCAAATCCCTATGCACATACAAAACCTTCTCCAACAGGGTAAAAATGGAAGCCACAGACTGGGAAAAAATATTTGGAAATGACATATCTGATAAGGGACTTATATCTAGAATTTATAGAATATTCGAGCACCACAACAAGATAACGGTAAATAACCCAATTGAAAAATAGGCACAGAATATGAACAGACACTTCACCAAAGAAGACATTCAGATGGCGAACACATATAGAAGTGTTCAAAATCTCTAGCTCTAAGAAAGATGGAAATTAAAAAACAAACGAACAAACAAACAAAAAACCTAAAACCCCCAGTAAGAATAGCAAAATTTGACATGGCAGTGAAAAACAAATATTGAAGAGGTTGTGGAGAAAGTGGAACACTTATTCACTGTTGGTGGGAGTGTAAAATGGTGCGACCATTATGAAAGGCAATGGGGTACTTTCTTAAAAAGTTAGAAATAGAAATACTACTTGACTCAGCAATTCCGCTACTGGGAATATAACCTAAAGAAATCAGAAATGTCACCCAAGTAGATATATGCACACGTATGTTTATTGCAGTTTTGTTCACAATAGCAAAGAGTTGGAAGCAACCCAAGTGTCCAGCAACAAACGAACAGATAGAGAAGCTCTGGTATATTTACACAATGGAATACTATGCTGCATTGAAAAATAAGGAACTCATGAAATATTTTACAAAATGGGTGACCGTGGAGGACATTATACTGAGTGAAATACTTCAGTCACAAAATGACAAATACTGCATTGTGTCACTCTTGTAAAACAAGACATTGAGGTTAGGGGGAACTTAAGAAAAGAGGAGTTAAATAATGTTAATTGCATTGAAACAGATGAGGGAGAGAACTGTTTAAATGAATATATGATTAGGTATTATTTTCACGAAAAGATTCCAGAAAAAGAAATACATAGTAAAGTGGACTGTGGAATTCAGAGGGCGGGGATTCTATAACAACAAAATATATTTTTTTTCTTTTTAAAGATAAAAGCGAACTGGGGGGAGGGGTGGTCAGGGAGGAAAATGGAAAAAAAAAAAGAATGTGGCATCAGGATCCGAAAAAGACTATCAATAACTTCTGTTATGCAGATAATACAAGCTTCTTTGCTGAAAGGGAGGAGGACGTAAAATAATTACTGCAAAAGATCAAGGACTACAGCCTTCAGTATGGTTTACATCTCAACATCAAGAAAACAAAGGTCTTCACCACTGGAGCAATAAGCAACATCATGAGAGATGGAGAAAGGATTGAAGTTGTCAATGATTTAATCTTGCTTGGATCCACAATCAGCAACTTTGTACCAACAGTCAAGAAATAAGACTGTGAGGAACCACTCAAAAACACTTAAGGAGTAATGACGTCAATTTGAAGAAGAAGATGCACCTGACACAGGCCACGGTCTGTGTGTGTGTGTGTGTGTGTGTGTGTGTGTGTGTACCATCAAATCATATCTGATTGGTACAGGAGGAGATTGTCCCTCCTTCTCCAGCAGAGCATCTAGTAGATATGAACCACACACATCTGAGACTGCAGTATTATAGCTTCTTGCCACTAGGCTACTAAAGTTTGCCAGGCTGTGGTTTTTTAAATCACTTGTTACACATCTGTGAGCTAGACAATGAATAAGGATGACAAAAGAAGAAGTGATCCCTTTGAACTGTGGTGTTGGAAGAAAGTAATTAATATCCCATGGATGGTCAGTTGACAAACTAATATATCTTCGGGGAAAAATCAGCTAGAGTGCTTCTTGCAGGAAAAGATGGTGAAGCTTCATCTCTCATACTTTGCATATGTTGATTGGGGAGGCTTACAAAAAGACATCATGCTTGGAAAAGTGGAGGGCCAGTGAAAGAGAGGAAGACCTCCAAGGAGACGGAATGACACAGTGACTGTAGCAGTGGCCTCATGTATGTCAGAGTTGAAGAGGATGGCACAGGATAGGACAAGGTTCACTCTGTTATTTATAGGGTTGCTATGAGCTGTACTCAGTGACACCTAATAATAACAACAATGACACTACTGAGGACATAAGGTTCTACTGAGCAAGGTTCTGTGAGCAAGTACTATAACTACTCCATGACAAAAAAAAAAACAAACCAAAAAAAATCTGTAGTTTAGAATTTAAGCAGGGAGAAGGGGCCAGGGTCCATTCAAACACTGCTGCGGGACCTACCCTTTTTCCTCCCACCCACGCCGCACATGAACGGAAACTATGAGTCCCAGCAATCTGTGCGGCAGAGCCAGCTTTAAATTTGGGGGCTCTCGGGCCAGGAAGACAAAAAAATATATACCGTATCTATAGGATTTATCAACCTCCCCTGCAAAGCACGTTTAACATTGAAGATTAAGTTTCTTTGGGCTACAAACTCCTGTCTTGCCTGACCATGTTGGTCCCGCTAACTCAAACAACAGAGAGATCCTTGGTATCTCAACAGAGGAGCAGTGATGTCAAATCAAGAACCAGTTATCACCTCTACCACATCAATGTCCCAAAAGAAACAGGGTACCTCACTCACCACACAAGCCTAAAGCAAGATAGCTCCCTAAAAAAATGAATGGATTTCCTGAAGCCAGAAAGCCTGATGGAACTTTCTGATACAGAATTTAAAAGAACATGGTTGAATATTTCCAATGGATGAAAGACAAACTTGATGAATTAAAAGATGTTACAAGCAAAGACCAGGAGGAGTTAAAAGAAACAATGCAAAACAT